AACCCTAAACCCTAAACCCTTTGTGGGAAGGCAGCTCTCCCAAACGTGTTTGTAAGCAGTGGTATCCGTATTGAACCCTAAACCCCACGGTTTAGGGTTTAGGGTTTAGGGTTTAGGGTTTAGGGTTTAGGGTTTAGGGTCCCTAAACCCTGAACCCCAAAGGCTCAACCCTAAGCCCTATGCAGCATCCTTGAAGCTGATTTTGAAACGAACCCTTGAGTTTACCCCAGAATCACTGTGCCTGTTTTGCAAAAACCCTACTGGTAGAGTTGAAGGTTGGGGCTTAGGATTCTCTGAACCCTACCGTTTTAGTAACTTACAGGGGTTTAGGGTTTAGGGAGAGGTTTTTGGTTCAGGGAGTGTAGTGACTTAGGGTAACTTAGGGTTCAGGGTTCACCTCCAGTCTGCAGTCTCCGTTGTAGTTCCCTTTTTTGGTTAAACCAGTTCCATATTTAGGATACTCTACGGCAACCCCCAAACAAAACAGGAACTAGAACGGGGACTCTACCCAGACTCCCGGAAGGATCTAGAAAGTAGATCCCTTATTTGGGGGCTCCTATAAAGTAGCCCTGAGTAGAAAAGGGTCCCAAATTGGGGGATCGACTTTGCAGATCCTTCCGGGGTCTGGGTAGGTATGGTCCTAAACCCTAAACCCTAAACCCTAAACCCTAAACCTTAAGCTCAGCTAAACCCTAAATCCTGAGCCCAGCCCTAAACTGTAAACCCAAAACCCAAAACCCTAAACCCAAAACCCAAAACCCAAAACCCTAAACCCTAAACCCTAAACCCCTAAACCCCTAAACCCCTAAACCCCTAAACCCTAAGCCAAAACGAAGAGAAAGGCCCAACCACGGGTCGACACTTCCGGAAGTGACAACCCGCAACCTGGCTGCGTATCCTCGGGCCTTATGTCTTGGGGTTTGGGGTTTAGAGGGTTTAGGGTCTTATGTTTTGGGGTTTAGGGTTTAGGGCTTAGAGGGTTTAGGGTCTTATGTTTTAGGGTTTAGGGTTTAGGGTTTAGAGGGTTTAGGGTCTTATGTTTTGGGGTTTAGGGGGTTTAGAGGGTTTAGGGTCTTATGTTTTGGGGTTTAGTGTTTAGAGGGTTTAGGGTCTTATGTTTTGCGGTTTAGGGTTTAGGGTTTAGAGGGTTTAGGGTCTTATGTTTTGGGGTTTAGGGTTTAGAGGGTTTAGGGTCTTATGTTTAGGGGTTTAGAGGTTTTAGGGTCTTATGTTTTGGGGTTTAGAGGTTTTCGGGTCTTATGTTTTGGGGTTCTGTGGGTTTCGGGTCTTATGTTGTGGGGTTTAGGGTTTAGGGTCGAGGGGTTTGGGGTTGGGGGTTTAGTGTTTAGGGGTCCAGGGTTATTTAAAGGTGTTGGGGTTTTAGGGGGTTTCGGGTTGAGGGCATTGGGGTTCACGAAACCTTACAAGTACCTACAAGGTACCCTTGATGGGGCCTTTTTGGTCTTCCCTTGTGGGTACTTGGGTTCAGGGCTTCTTACGGTCATAGGGATCTGGGTTAGTGGTCGAGGAAAGGGCCTTGGCTGGGTGTGGAGCTTTTGGAAGGTTACGGCTTTGCCGCTTCAGGGTTAAGAGTCTAGGGTTTAGGGTTTAGGGTTGACTTCATGATTTCGGATGGGGTCTTTCGGTTTCTTTGCGCCCAGCTGGGCGGGACTTTTGCATAGGGTTTCGGGCTCTATTGCACGGCTCTGCTTCGCGGCACGGATGGGTTGTAAATTAAGAGGGAGCTGATGGCATATAACCTTATTGTGGTTAAGATACGAGTCTTGGGGTGTGTGTCCCTGAATTACATTGCGTGCATAGAGGCGTATCCTTAACTTACCAATGACGGTTACTGCTGCGATACCGCTTTTCGATTTAGAGCCCGGTGTCAGTCGTCTCATTTACTCAGTGTTAGGACGCATGGTTCTTCGTTTCACGAGGCAAATGAAGACACCTGCAAACCCTAAACCCCTAAACCCTAAACCCTAAACCCTAAACCCTAATGATGAAGCTGAAGTGTGCCGTGCTTATGCATGGCTCAAGTACAGGAAGTGGCAAACATGTGGCATGCCAGCAAGGAAGCTCGTCGTTAGTGCAAAGCACAGCAGAGCCCTAGAGTAGCAGGCTGAAGCCTCATTGAAGCACTTCCGACATGTCCCAAAAAGTCCGAAATTCGATTGCTGTGTCTGCTCATGGATCCGCATATGCATCTGTTTCAGCAGCTTGGTGATCCCGTTCATCAGCAGGGTATGAGCCCAACGCTGGAAGGAGAAGATCGAGGTCCAGAGTATGGAAGATCTTCGGTGCCGCTGCGCCGAGGTGATGATGTTCAGGATCGACCAGCGCAACATGCTATACCGAATGGGGTACCTGCTGGCACCCCTACTTTACAAGATGAACAACGTGGTGTACATGTTGGTATGGCAGAACGAGCAGATGACACTTTGCAGACTGCAGCAGAGCCTGGTCAGCTTCCTTTGGCAGGAACAGGGCTCAGCGAGGGTGAAGCAGTTGGTACCACCGGCCAGGTTTCGTCAGTGCATGAGGGACTAGCAGCCGGGCGCGACGTACGATCTGCGGTGCAACTACCGCTGTTCCCTCGCTTCACGCCGTCCCCTTTGCCGGGTCAATCTCCGGTTACTACAAGAAGCGAAGGGAGGCAACCGTCCTGGTTCACACGACTGGGCGACTACATTCAGAAGAGAGTTGAAGTGACTTCATGGGCATCCCCTCAGGCACTAGGCCCTCCCACTACGAGTACATGGCAAAATCAGGTGCAAACCGTGATGGTCAGTTCGCCAGCGGCCGCGGATCCGCGACCCGAGAGCAACTCGAGTGGCTCGTTGGGTGTTACCCCGGAAGTGCTACAAGCAGAAGTTTCTCGACAACTAGACGCTGCTATGGGTGAAATGATGAGCAGGTTGCAGGATGAAAAACGGAGATCGGATGAGGCCGCTCTTGAGGCCCAAAGGCTTCGTATGCAACTGGAGAACTATGAGATGAGGCTGGCTTCACAGTCGCAGATGACTATGGCACCCCCCGGGTTGGAGTCCCAGGTGGGCGGCCATGGAGTTCCCACTAGAGTTCCTACAAATCATCCTCTACCTGGTCCGAGCAGCACTGTGGCGTTGCAAGGTCATCTACCTGGGCGTGAGGGGAGTGCTCTTGGTGATCCTTCCCAGCTCGGGTGTGGTGCTTCAGTTCTTCCGGGTGATGGAGGGAGGCTTGCTGAAGGTGTAGATCCTGAAGCATATGGCCCTGGAGTTCCCGCTAGAGTTCCTACAAATCATCCTCTACCTGGTCCTGGTCGTAATTTGTTTACAGGTAGAACGAGATCTCAGTCGCCAGGTGGTCCAAGAGCGTTTATACAAGGTCTACTGGGTTTGGGAAGAGATGACTCCATGGGACAAGATTCGTCTACAGCTAGACCCGCAACAACCTCTACTTCAATGCCTACCGTACCTCCACCTCAACCTCCACCCCCACTACCACCTCTACCTGCCGAACAGCTTCCAGGTGCCTCAGATGATCACCTTTTGGCTACGCTGGCTAAAGGCATCGAGGCGTTGTTGCGCCAACAGCAGAGTGGGCGTAATGACCGGCCGGAGACTGAAGCCGGGTATTACGGAACTGCCACTCCTTCCTGAGTATCAGCCGTCGACGGGGTCAATAGACTTGTTGCATTGGTTGACTCACATTGCTCCGATAATGGAAGATTTGTCGGATACCAGTTTGGCTTGGTGGCAGGAGACGATGAAGGATGCCTTGAGGTGGTACAGTGAATACGCTTCTGCCTCGCCGCTTGCTCGTCTACAGCTACAGCCCCGTCCAAGCACGGAGCTTCGTCCCGAGTGGGCGCGCGTGGAACGACGAGCCACTGCTATGATGCTCTCGGCGGTACCCAAGACGATCAGAGAGGAGATCATTGCCAATGGTCGGGTCTCGTCGCTTGTGGTGCTGTGCAAACTATATGCTGTGTACCAGCCTGGGAACTTGCAGGAGAAGACGCTGGTGTTGAGGATGTTGGAGCAGCCAGATGAGTGCCACACGGCCCTCCAGGCCGTTGAAGGGCTACGGAAGTGGAGCCTTTGGAGGAGGCGAGCCGCGACTCTTGGAATGGCGGAACCAGATGCATCGGTTCTTGTGCGAGGGCTTGATCGCATAACTGGGCAGATCATCAAAGGGAGTGGTGAGCTGGACTTTCGAGTGAGTTTGATTCGGAGCACTCTTCAGGTGGATGTGAGTCCTTCTTCAGCCACGGTGACAACGTTCCTGCAGCATCTTCAGGCCGAGATGGAACAGCAAGCGAGGCTTAACAATAATCCGAAGGATGAGGCCACAACAGCTTTGAGGGCAATTACCAATCCCGTGGACACAACATCAACTCTACATCCAACTACCACTACACCGACTACTCCAACCTCACCAACTGCCCCAAAGAATTCGAGCGGTCTGTGTAAGTTCTTCGCGTCAGACAAGGGATGTCGAAGAGGAAACTCTTGCCGGTTTCCTCATACGTGGGCGCTTCTTGACAAAGGCGCGAGGCAGCGAAAGTGCCTCTGCTGCGGGTCTACTCAGCACAAGGTGAAGGAGTGCCGCTCTCCCGGCGGCGGGCAAGCTACTCCGAAGTCAGGTGGGAGGCCTGTTCCGGTGGGCGCGAGCGACACCGGAGCGACGTCATCTGCTACCTCCCCTACCGATGCAGCTGTTCGGCGAGTTAGCTTTGAAGCGGTAGCCGATGCCCAGGTGAAGGTGATGAAGGTTTTGCAGGAGGTCCAGAAGTTGGAGGTCCTAAAGCCCATCCTGAACGCCATCAATCGATGGACAACTACGACCTCGCCTATGACAACCCCAAGGTCGCGCGATGCTCTCCTTGACTCCGGTGCAACTCACATACTGAGGAGGCCAAAGGACCAGAATGAATGGGAGCAAGCCTTAGCGTGCAGCTAGCTGGTGACTCGAGTGTCACTATGAAGCAAACCTGTGATGGCACCCTTCTCACGGGTGATGACTTGGCTCAGGTCATCGTCCCCCTCGGCAAGGTTATCTCAACCCTGGGGTACCGTCTGCACTCGACCCAGGATGTGTGTGAGCTCCTGAGTGATGAGGGCGAGGTGTTGCCGCTCAGTGTTGTGAAGGGATGTCCGGAACTTCCTCAAGAAACCGCGGCGGCGTTGATTAGTCAGCTTGAAGCCAAGCAGCTACCTGAGCTACGACAAACTACCTCCACCACCGTGAAGGCGATCACCGAGGTGAAGCAAAGCTGGTGGTCCCACTTGATGAGCTATATTCAGAATGGAGGTACTGAGTGCGGCAGAAGAGCGGTTGACAAGGCTGACTTTCTCGACTATAAGGATGTGATAAAGAATGACATGGTGATCCGGCTACCACGGCCGGGGATTTGGGAGCTCATGAAGGCTCTCACTTTGAACCGGAGAGCGCGGAAGCGCCTGTTGAGGGCGTCCTCGTGGATGGTTCGTTGGGATCCACCTTCAGTGGATCGTAGCCGTGATGAGTTGCGTCACTTGGCCTACGTTGGGGACTCGGTGTACCTCAATATGAATACTTTGTTGGTTGAGAATGAGTTTGTGGATGTATGGAAGGTGGTATGGTGGGCAGCTGTTCAGGGTCGAGTTAGTACTGTGGTGGCGCGGGACACCACACTCCGTCCAATGGACCAGCTTTCCGTTGCCCCCCACCGTGGCAAGGTGCATTGGTTGCACGCTTTGTCCTCGGCTGGTCGCGCCATTCGAGGAGGAGAGCCTGTTCGTTTGTATGTGGAGAACCCGAATGCCTTGTCCACCATGATGACGAACTTCATGGTCATCCCTTTCCAGAAGGCGACTATGGGGAGGATGAGGAGTTGTCTGAGGAAGACGTGGACCCCGAAGAGGCACAGGTTGAGGAGGAGACCCCAGACTTCAGTGGCGATGATTTGCGAAAGGAGAGGGAGTGCTGGGAGCGACTCAAGGCTACGTTCAAGGAACCGCTTAAGACGGAGACGGTGTACTTTTGTGTGCCGATCGCTGGAAAGAAGGTTATCTACACATTGCCGGCCCTCCAGATGGTGACGGAGATTAAGGCGCTTGAGTACCCGGTGGCTCGAGTTCACTCTGACAGAGGAGGAGAATTCCGTGGGAATTTGGTGAAACGTTGGTTGGCTGCTCAAGGCATATTGAGGACTACTTCTACCGGTTCGGAGCCGGCCGAGAATGGAGTTGCCGAAGCTGGGGTGCGCTATTTAAAGCGGCGTGCCAGAACGTTACTTGATGCGGCGCGACTACCACGGGTACACTGGCCTACAGCTGTTCAGACGGCTGCCGTCCAGCAACGTTGCTGGAAACTGGGGATCCCGGATCCCACTGTGGTCGCCTACGGGGCTAAGGTGTATGTCAAGGTGAAGAAGTAGAAGACTGGTGATGTGGAGAGCTTCACCCCCCATTGGCTGCAAGGACAATACCTAGGACCAGCCACTGATGTGAGGGGTGGTCATGTGATCTTGAAACCATCAGGCACGTTCTTGACTACAACCCATGTGAGGGTCACGGTTGATCCTCCTCCGCTCGATTCCCTGGTGCCAACGATCGTCGTCGACCCAGAGGACAGCGAAGAACCTCCTCTACCACCACCTTCTCACGAGCCCCCGGATGGTGCCGGTGTGGGCGATATAGAATTACCAGGTGAACGTCATGAACTACCTCCCCCAAGAGTTCGCGCCCGGAAAAAGGGCCCAGGGATCCGAAGATTACAGCATTTTTTCCCCGACTACGTCTCGCCAAGTGAAGTGGGTGATGATTCCTCATCTACTACAAGCACGGACCCTGAACTACGGGTTTTACGATCGGCTGAAACCTACGAACTGGAGCTCATGGCCGCAAAGATGTTAGAGGCGGGTGTTCCCAATGCGCGAGGTTGCGCTGCTCTATTGGACAAGATAGGGCATGACTGTGGAAACCTCAAGGTACCGCGCGCCAAGGACGGTTGTGGTATTTTGCTGGGCGCCTATGTCCATGGAGGTGCATTTGGGGTGACTTCATTGGGCAAAGAACTAAAGTGGACCACCATGTACTTCAACAAGTTTCTCAGCAAGAAGCTCAAGCAGACATTCCGAGCACAGGATGGTGGTGAGTTCACATGGGCGACGTTGGCGTTGCAACATGCCTCTGAAGTCCCGATGCATAGAGATGTGCATAATCAACGGGGAAGTAAGAACTATGTCATTGAGATCAAGTGTGATGAGTATGCTGGACTATGGGTACAAGATGATCATGACGATCGGGGGGTTCAAGGTGGAACTCAGGCGGTGGATCATCAGTGGCAAGCGGAAGATGGGACCATTCACAATGGTTGTTTGGTGGATATCAAGAAGAAACCCGCTGCTTTCAGTCCCAGGTTGACTCATGGTTACATCAAGGATACTGGAGCGAGATGGTTTTTGTCAGCCTACACCCCTCATGGTGTCCATCGGCTGTCTGAGGCCGATAAGACATATCTGGAAGGCTGTGGTTTTCCTCTACCTGAACCACAAGTACGAGCTGAAGAAGCGGTGCTGGAAACCATACCGGCGCTAAAGGCAACCTCCTTTCCGCAGGATTATAAGTTGGATGGAGTCCGCTTTCCCCCTGACGATGTGGAGGATTTGAATATTGCTCGTGATGATGATGAAGCTTGTGGGGATTGGGGTATCTACGTTGAGGAGGAGGTACAAGGGGCTGGTGATGGTAACATGCTTCGGAAGATTTGTGACTCTGATGGCCCTGGGAATGAGGCAGAGTTGTTGTGGAGGACCTCTCAGTCAATCCTTGGATTAAACACGGATGCCACGTACCAGGAGGATTTGGCAGCATGTGCTGAGGAATGGGTTGGGGAAGATGGATGTTTGAATCCGAGGGTTGCAAAGTTGGAGCCCGAGTATACCCCCAACATTGAGGAGGTGATCAAGGAACTCATCGATAATGACACCCCTCTCCGGCACACTCATAACGTGAGTCCTCAAGAAGTACGGCAAGTGCTACCCAAGTGGAAGGCCTCGATCGAGAAAGAGCTTGGAGTTGTTGAAAAGGGTTTCAGACGGTCTACTGTCAAGGAGATTCGCGAGTTGAAGGCCACCCGCAAGGTTCAAGAGCTACCAGCAAAGGTGTATACTGTGAAACCACCGGCCAATGACGGCACCATCACCGGGGAGGCCAAGTATTGCAAGCGCAAAGCCAGGATTGTTTGTTGCGGAAATTACGCCTGATCAGGCGGACATCTTCGCCTCCGGTGCGGCGGCCGAAAGCTTGACGTTCTCAGCGTGGTCGCGATGGTTTACTGGACTTCTGGACATCGCAGGAGCCTTCATGTTGACTCCTCTTCCGCAAGGACCTGATGAAGTTGTCTACGCGGTTCAGCCCCCGGCTGTGTTGGTGAAGTTGGGCTTAGCATCAGAGGACGAGCGATGGATCCTCACCCATGGAATGTATGGGCTTCGTCAAAGCCCTCGGCTTTGGTCTGAGTTTCGTGACCAAACCATTAAGGAGATGAGGTTTATGGCTGAGGATGCAGAGTGGATGCTGAAGCAAGGGGATGCGGAGCCGAACCTATGGTTACTTGTGAAAGTTGGGGAACCCCAAGGTAGCCCAGGTGCTTTAGTGTTGATCTACGTTGATGATATCCTCTTGTGCGGACGAGTTGTTCTACTGCAAACCATCGCTGCCAAACTGAGTTCAACGTGGAAAACTACAGAGTTGGAAATGCTCTCAGCGTCCCATGGGATAAGGTTTTTGGGGTGTGAGATCCTCACGACCGAGGCCAGGGACCGCTACTACCTCCACCAGCAGCCTTATAACAAAGAAATTCTTCGAGCACATGATGTACCCGACTCCGCGGTCTCCCCTATACAGGCGCCAAGACACCTGGTCACATTTGAGGCTGAGCCGGATGAGCCAAAAGGTGATGAGCAAGAGATCAAGCTTGCTCAGCGTCTATGTGGTGAGTTGTTATGGCTGGCGCAGCGGACGCGTCCAGATGTGAGTTTCACGGTGAATGCAATGGGTGCTTTGATTAGTCGGGCTGCTCCGCGCTGCATTGCTATTGGGGTGCGACTCCTATCCTACCTGCAGCACACTCAAGAGTATGCCTTGACCATAGCACCAACTTCAGATGGCTTGATCACCTTTACGGACAGCTCCTATGCCCCGGAGGGGAAGAGGTCTCACTCCGGGATCTTGGTGACCTGGAGAGGGGCTCCTTTATCATGGAGGGCAACAAGGACCCCCTATGTATGCCTGTCAACGGCAGAAAGTGAACTTACCGCTGCAATAGAGGGTCTAAAGATGACGATGTCTTTGGGTGCGGTCTTGGAGGAGCTGGTGGGTGTTGACTTACCGATCCAGTTAGCGGTCGACAATCAGTCCGCCATTGCAATCGCCAAGCCGACTGGCTCGACTTCGTGGCGTACGAGGCACTTACGAGTACGGTCTGCGTTCATCCGGGAACAAGTGCAGAACAACAAGGTCCAGATAAGGTATGTCAAAGGCCAGCAGCAGCTAGCCGACCTTCTTACCAAATCATTCCCACGTCAAAGGCTTGAGGAATTGGTTGTGATGTGGGGAATTGGACGCTTGACCGAGGGAGCAAAGACTACGATGCTAAGGGCTATGATCCTCTGCACGATGATCCAGTCAGCTCGCGCCCAGGAACCTTTGGCGCTGGACACTATGTCTATCGAGCTCTACGCGATAATCGCACTGATTGCGGTTGCAGTTGTTGGACTTTGGGAGTTTGTATGGATGTGCATTGACCGTTTCTGTGTTCGATCAGGTTCAAGGTCAACCAGGAGGATTCGCAGGCTCCGGGAAGCAGTTCAACGGGAACTCGAGACCCAGATCGCGGAGCGAGATGATGCTACCCTTACGCCGAGGCCTCCTTCCCCTATGTCAACTTCGAAGACACCGGCTATGTCACCAGCCAGAGCAACGCCCCGGACTACATCTAAGTCGAGGATAGGTTCAACCTCTATGACTTCGAGTCCACAACCCCCTACTGGTCTGAGTCTTCGATCTCATGAACGAGCACGTACCCAGGACGCAGGTACTCAGACCACGATCGATGAGGACTACGTCCCAATCATTGAATACCTTGATAGAGAAGTACCTGTCCCAGTCCCGGTCCGAGAATGGCATCCCGGACCAGTGTTTGTTAGTCCGCATGGTGACACCTTTCATGTACACGAAACATGTTGGGGGCTACGCAACACCAGATCGAGAGCGTTGCGGCTTTGTCAGTGCTGCCGTGATAATAATGGAAGATCACTCCGTGAGCGCTGAAGAAGGATGTGAATTAGCCGGCACAAGTATAGTGTGGAGTGTGTGAGCTCCACTTCCAGCGTCGCTCAAGGAGGAGTGATGAAGCTGAAGTGTGCCGTGCTTATGCATGGCTCAAGTACAGGAAGTGGCAAACATGTGGCATGCCAGCAAGGAAGCTCGTCGTTAGTGCAAAGCACAGCAGAGCCCTAGAGTAGCAGGCTGAAGCCTCATTGAAGCACTTCCGACATGTCCCAAAAAGTCCGAAATTCGATTGCTGTGTCTGCTCATGGATCCGCATATGCATCTGTTTCAGCAGCTTGGTGATCCCGTTCATCAGCACCTGAACCCTAAACCCCCTAACTCTAAACCCCTAAAACCCTAAACCCCCTAAACCCTGAGCTTTTTGCTGGTCTTGGGTGCAGGGCTCAAGGCTCTAGATCCTTCTTGGAAACCCTGAATCCAACCCAACACCAGACAGCCCAAACGGTAAGCTCCTGTTTAGGGTTTGGGGTTTAAAACCCTAAACCCTAAACCCTAAACCCTAAATCCTAAACCCTAAACCCTATTTAGGGTTTAGGGCTGCCTGTGCACATTTCGAAACCCGCGTGAGGATCCTAGTAACGGAATGTCTCAAACTTTAAACCGTACATCCTGCACCTAACCCCCACAACTACGCCGGATCGAAACCCAACAGCCAGCCTAACAAACTCCAAACCATGGTTCTTAAGCCCTGCATTGTAAAAACCTCTAGACCCTAAACTCTAAACCCTAGACCCTAAACTTAACCCTAAACCTCTAAACCCTAAACCCTAAACCTCCACGCCCGAAACCTGAAACCCTTGGGGCCCTAGCAACAGCACCTGGCCGCCGACCCCCTGCTTTTCAGAACGGTGAACTTAGGGTTTAGGGTTTAGGGGTTTAGGGGTTTAGGGGTTTAGGGTTTTAGGGGTTTAGGGGTTTAGGGGTTTAGGGTTTAGGGTTGAGAGTTTTTAGGGGTTTAGGGTTTAGGGGTTTAGGGCTTTTGTGGTTTAGGGGTTTAGGGTTTAGGGGTTTCGGGGTTTAGGGTTTAGGGTTACAAAATCCAGCCCCAAGTGCAGCAAGGGCCCTTGAGCCGGCAGACGTCCTCCTGCATGATGAAGAGCCATGTGACCGCAAGTTGTTGTTTTTGGGTTTAGGGGGGTTTAGGGTTTCGGGTTTAGGGTTTAGGGTTTAGGGAGCAAGGGTTTGTTTTGTGATAGTTTGTTGGCAAGATCGTGGTTTTTCGCAGAGCTTCAGGTGGGTGTAGGTAACATAGGGGCCTTATTAATAATTAGCTATACTACTTTGGGGGTTCCTCATTATAACTATCATGGTATAATATACCCCAAAACCCAGTTCTAATTATTAAGGCCCCTACCTTCAG